GCATTCATATTAATAAATTCAGCCTATTTAACATTACAGTTGACTATGAACAACATGGGTTTCAACTGTGTTGGTTCACTTGTATGCAGATTCTTTTGGAAATTTTTCTGAAGATTTGCCAGAATTTGAAAAAACTTGCAGATGAACCATATAGCTTAGAAACATTGAAAAAGTTAGACACCTCGTGAAAGCATATATGTAGATACTATTTTATCTTTACTACCATAAAGTATACATAACTCTATTATAAAGTTAATATTTATGAAAACACACAAACACTTATAGACCATACATAGCATCATTTGCAGTTGAGAGAAAGGTAAATAAATGTAAAGACACAGTATTAAATCATAACTGCATAAAATTAACTGTAGTACTCACTGTACTGCTGTAATAATTTCATAGCCCCTGCCTTTTGGTATTGCAGTAAGTTTATTTATTTATTTTGAGACAGATTTTCACTCTGTTGCCAAGCCGGAGTGCAGTGGTGCACTCTCGGCTCACTGCAACCTCCGCCTCCCGGGTTCAAATGATTCTCGCATTTCAGACTCCCTAGTAGCTGTGATTACAGGCATCCGCCCACCACACCTGGCTAATTTTTGTATTTTTAGTAGAGGTGAGGTTTCACCATGTTGGTCAGGCTGGTCTCGAACTCCTGATCTCAAGTGTTCCACCTGCCTTGGCCTGCAGTGAGTTCACATGTTGCAAGTATCCTCTTAAAATGCCATGTGACACCATTCTTCTTTGCATGAGCAGTCTCCTCTCACCAGTAAATTTTGTGTTGAATTAAAAAGAGATCTCTCATGGGTCTCAAGTATTTTTCACTGTGTGTAGTGCAATACCATAAACCTTAAATTACAGCATGGGACTCATACAAATTAGCCACTAGTGATGTCGAAAATGCTGCCAAGAAACAAAGAAAAATTATGACATTACAATAAAAAGCTGAATTGCTTGATAGGTACCATAGATGAGGTCTGCAACTGTGGTTGCTCGACATTTCAAGATAAATGAATCCAACATGAGGACCATTATAAAAAAAGAAAAGCAAATTCATGAAGCTGTTGCTGCAGCTATGCTAGCAGGCATAAAAACCATGCATTTGTTGTAAAATACCTTTTTATCCATATTGAAAATGCAGCTTTTATGTTGGTGCAGGATTACTATAAGAAAGACATATCTATAGGTTCTAATATGACTCAAGAAAAAGAGAAGTCATTATATGACAATTTAAACCAAAAGGAAAGTGAAGAATTTAAAGTTAGAGAATTTAAAGCTAGCAAAGTAGCAGCTACTAGGGAAGCTGATGTAGAAGGATCTCTTGAGACCAGGAGTTTGAGGCTATAGTGAGATATGATTACACCTTTGTACTCTGGCCTGGGCAACAGAGAAAGACCCAATCTCTAAAAAATAATAATGCCAGCAAAAGATGGTTTGTTAATTTTAGGAAGAGGTTTCTCTTTAAAAAGGATGGTTTGTTAATTTTAGGAAGAGGTTTAGCTTTAAAAATGTCAAGAAAACAGGAGATGCAGTTTCTGCTGAGTGAGAGAAAGCAGGTGAGTTCCCAGATGCCATTAAGAAAATAATTGTGACCAGGCACAGTGGCTCACTCCTGTAATCCCAACATTTTGGAAGGCTGAGGCAGGAGGATTACTTGAGGCCAGGAGTTCGAGATCGGCCTGAGCAACATAGCAAGAACTTATCTCTAAGAAAAAAAAAAAAGAAAGGAAGAAAATCATTGAGGAAATAGGATATCTGCTGAACAGGTTTTGAATGCAGGTGAAAGTGCCCTATTCTGGGAAGAAAAAAAAAGTCACAAAGGACATTTATTAGTAAGGAAAATAAGTGAGCACGGATTTAAGGCAGGAAGGGAAAGGCTGACTCAACTGTTTTGTGCAGATGCAGTCGAGTTTATTGTCAGAACTGCCCTTATCTATGAAGCTTCTGATCCCCAAGCCTTGAAGGGAAAATGTAAACAACAGCTGTCAGTCATTTGGTTGTATAAAAAGAAGGTCTGGACAACAAGAACTTGTTTTCTAGATTGATTCCATCTATGCTTTCTGCCTGAAGTCAAGAAGTACCTTGGTAACAAGGGACTGCCTTTTAAGGTTCTTTCGATGTTGGACAAATGCCCCTGGCCACCCAGAACCACATGAGTTCAACACCAAAGATGTTAAAGCGGTCTACTTGCCCCCAAATACCATGTCTGTAATTCAGCCTCTAGACCGGGGTCATAAGGCCCTTTAAGGCTCATTACCATGTCTGTAATTCAGCCCCAAACACCATGTCTGTAATTCAGCCTCTAGACCGGGGTCATAAGGCCCTTTAAGGCTCATTACACAGGGTACTCTATGGAAAGGATTGTCAACTATGGAAGAGAACCCTGATAGAGAAGTCTGGAAGGATTGCACCATTGAAGATGCCATCACTGTTTTTGTTTGTTTGTTTTTATTTTTGTAATTTTTAGTTTATTTGTGTGGCAAGTGACAGGCATGAAGATGCCATCATTGTTATAGAAAAGGCCGTGAAAACCATCAAACCCAAAACAACAAATTCCTGCTGGAGAGTACTGTGTCCTGATGTGGGCATGACTTCACAGTATTTACAACAGAGCCTATCAGGGAAATCATGAAAAAGACTGTGGATATGGTTAAAAAAAAAAAAAAAAAAAAAAGGTGGGGAGTACAAGGTTTCAATATATGAATCTTGGAGAAATTTAAGAGCAAATAGACACCACACCCAGAGGAGGAATTACAATAAGACAACTTGATAGAGATAAGCACTTTCAAACCAGTGCCACATGATGAGGAAGAAAACAGAAAAAGCAGTATTAGAAAACAAATTGACCTTAGACAATCTGGCAGAAGGATTCCAAATATCCAAGATTGCTTTTGACTTATTTTACAATATGGACCTTTCTATATGATACAGGCACTGAAACTAACACAAACAGTGAAAGAAGGATTGGTACCATATAGAAATATTTTTAGGGAAATGAAAAAGCCAAAAAGTCGAATTACAGTGTATTTCTGTAAAGTCATACTGAGTGTGCCTGCCTCTCCTGCCTTCCCTGCCACCTTCTCCACCTCTTCCAGCTCTGCCACCCCTGAGATAACAAGATCAATTCCTCCTCTTCTCCTCCTCCTCAGCCTACTCAACATGAAGACAATGAGGATGAAAAACTTTTTGATGAGCTACTTCTACTTAATGAATAGTAAATATATTTTCTCTACCTTATGATTTTCTTAATAAAATTTTATTTTCTCTGGCTTATTTTATTGCAAGAGTATAATACATGATACACATACAAAATATGTGTTAACTGCTTACGTTGTTGATAAGACTTCTAGTTAACAGTCGGCTATTAGTAATTTGGTGGGGAGTCAAAAAAATCATAATTCAGATTTTCAATTATGTGGGGGGGGTCAGTGCCCCTAACTCTCATGTTGTTCAAGGGTTAGGGGCACTGACTAGTGTAACTCCCTACAAATACATTCCTGCATATACTCCTAGAGTTTCTGCTAATTTAAGTTGGCAAAATCTTGCCATTCTTTCAATATGGCAGTCCCCAAGTCAGTCCCTACACTTAACCCTAACTCACCATGGCGTGCTGGGATCCAGCTGTAGTTACAGGATTGGAGACAATGAGAAGTGGTGGTGGTATAGAGGTGGGCCTCAAGGACAATAGGCATCCCCTTACAAGGTAAGTGCCTTGGGTGAAATCATTACAGAATCTTCAAACTTAATCTCCTTAGGAGAGGAGGGCTTACTTGTGCTGGCAAGAGAGGCATTTTGGAATTTGGAGGTCCAGGGGGTTCAATGTCATTAGAGTCCTCTCAAATGTCTTCATTCTCAATTCTCAGGTTTCCACGCATTCCCACAGCCCTGTTTCTCACATAAGAGACCTGGCAAGCCTGTGAAATCAGTTAGTACTGTAATTCTGCAATCCACTTGATATTTGGGATTTGGTTTTTGGATATATTGGTCTTCTGACTACAAGAGAGAAGTTATTTTAGGACACTCATAGAAGGTCTGTGGTTCTCAGACGATGCCTTGTTCCGGTTATTAAATCCCCAAGTTGGACATTTTCTTCTAAACTCAGTAACATGGTCAGATGTGGCTAGCCCACCTCACGATCCTTGTAGTCCTCAATTCCATTATAACATTTTTCATACCACTCATGTGGTCTTCCAAAGTACTTCATTATCAGCAACTATAAGTGATAATCAATTCTTTTGCCATGGATTCTTTTGCTAGAACTTGTGACAAGATTATATCACCTTCAAAGCTAGCCAGGTCAGATAACCAATCCCAAATTCCTAACTTTGAGTTTCTCATCACTGTAGTGACTTCTAGAACCAAATACTTTATCAGAGTTAATCAGTTCAAGAGAACAGCTTTCACTTTATATACTTTAAGCTGGGAGATGTTTTTGTTTTTTTGTTTTGTTTTGTTTTGAGACAGGGTCTGGCTCTGTCACCCAGGCTGGAGTGTGGTGGCGTGATCTCAGCTCACTGCAACATCTGCCTTCTAGGCTCAAGCCATCCTCCTATTTCAGCCTCCCAAGTAGCTGGGACTACAGGCACACACCACCACACCTGGCACATTTTTATATTTTTTTGTAGACATGGGGTTTTACCATACTGCCCAGCCTGGTCTCAAACTCCTGAGCTCAAGCGATATGCCTGCCTCAGCCTCCCAAAATACAGGGATGATGGGTGTGAGCCACCACGCCCGGCCTTGGAAGATTTTTAATAAAGGGAATTAGATGCTTACAAAATTATTGGGAAGGCTGGGGAAGCAAAAGGCAAGGGAAATAGTTGCTGACTTTCAGAAAATCTGGAAGTACAGGAATCCCATGAAGCTACTATGATCTCAGAAGCTGGAGTGACTATAAGCTTTTTTTTTTTTTTTTTTTTTTTAACCAGAAAGACATTTCATTTCTTCAACATCATACCTTTGTCAGGTCAGAGTTCTCATTATTTTCCAATGTTTTTCAGGATGTCAAAAGCAACCAAGAATTGTCAGAGAAGCTGTCTAAGCTACAGCAAGAGAAGGAAGCTCTACGTGAAGAATATTTGCGATTATTGAAGCTGCTTAATGTCCATGTGAGGTAAACAAAGACAAGTTCTCTTTTGAAAAAAACTATGTAGAGTAGTTATTTCTTGCTGAACCAGCTCTAGGGCTAAATAGTGCGCTGCTCACTGAAGCAGCCTTTCAAGAGGGCCATAATAAAATTCCTGTTTCCAAAAGTGCTATCCATAGGGCTTTTCCTAGGGATGTGGGGCCTAATTTCTTCTCAAGAGAGGGAAGGAGAAGGGAATTACCATTCATTGAGCTTTGATGATATTGAACTTGTTTTCCCCCAAATACACCCTTCTCACTTGCGTTCACACTTTTTTTCACCTCACACACTTTCCTCAGCCTGAACCACCCTCTCCTCATTTAAAGAGCTTTTTTTTATTTTAGAGAATTGACACAGAATATTAGTAATATGTATATCATATAGGTGTTATATATAATGATATATCTGTGACATATATGATACTTAAATACTCTCTCTTTCTATACATACATACATATATACATATATGTATATCAGTCTAATACCATTGTCCAAAGGTAAAATGACATTTGGCTTTTAGGCAGTTAATTTTTTTTTCATTTTACATATAATGAACAACATTGCAAAAAAAAAATTCTTTTTTCAGATAGTATCTCACTCTGTCACCCAGGCTGGAGGGTAGTGGCACGATCACAACTCACTGCAGCCTCAACCTCCTGGGCTCAAGTGATCCTCCCACCTCAGTCTCCTGAGTAGATGGGACTGCAGTCACGTGCAGCCACACCCAGCTCACTTTTAAATTTTTATTTATAGAGACAGGGGTCTCACTATGTTGGCCAGGCTGGTCTCAAATTTCTGGCCTCAAGTGATCCTCCTTCCTTGGCCTCCCAAAATGCTGGGATTATAGGCAGGCGTAAGCCACTGTGCCCAGTGCAATATTTTTTTCATAATTATTTATGGCACACCTCTCAGCTGTGATCAGTATAAAATTTTTGAATGAAACAAAACTTATGCAGACATTCTCCCAAGTTCACTCCTAGTGTCTTGTCAATAAACATAATTTTATGGTTTTATTATCATAGCTTTTATAAAAGTTTTATACTGTCTCTCTCTTAATATCATCTGATAAGCATTGTGCTTTGTTGCTATAGTCTTCAAATTTGCTATTTCCATATAACTTAATATTTCATGAAGTTGATATGCCCTTGCACTAACAGCAGCAGTTAAACAGGGTACAACTGCTAACAGACTAACAGAACCTAAAATTACAGTGCTAACAAATGTATATCTTATTTCAGGAATAGGGTATAATATAGAAACAGCATTAGAGGAAGAATATGCGTTAGAGCCCATGTGTGTTTCACAGCAAGGGGTCCAGAGAAGTCAGGCAGCAGCTGCAATGGTGTTCCCTCTGTTAGGGCCGTGGCTGGATGTACTTCCTCTCTGAGATCAGGAACCACTCATGTGTGCATTGACCACCTTACAACCAGGGAGCCCTGGTAAAAAACCAAGTCTCAGCTGAGATTTTATTAAATACTTTTTATATTCTGTTGTTCACATAAGCATATTCCTGCCATGTAACCTGCTTCAAGAGCAAAGACTTCTTGGGGGTCTCAACGAGACCAGGTGCAAATCATCATTATCACTGTTATCAAAAAACAATGCTGATAAACTGATACAAACTGCCATGAAACAACTTGGACCTGAGATTATGAGGCCACACACTATTTTAATCTTTCTGTTTCCCTCTGTAATATGCTTGACCAACAGTCAGTGCCAAACAGGCACTTTAGCAAAACAGTTTAGGTTAATCCTAGGCCTGCTGGAATAAACTCTCACAACATAATCCTAATTTGGTTAAGAATTACTCACTAGTCTGATGGTTGAATATTTTTATTCAAAACAATGCTGGAAAAAAATCATTTTGATATTATATTTTTCATTTTTAAATTTATTTTTATAGAACTATAGATCTTAAAATGTGTTGACAAACATTCCGAAGTATCCTACTATTACTGGAAAGGGGTCCTGAACCCAGACCCCAATTGAGGGTTCTTGGAAATCATGCAAGAAAGAATTCAGGGCGAGTCTAAACAGTAAAGGAAAAGCAAACTTACTAAGAGAGTAAAGAAATAAAAGAATGTCTACTCTATAGACAGAGCTGCCCCGAGGGCTGCTGGCTGGCTATTTTTATGGTTATTTCTTGATTATAAATATGGGGTGGATTATTCATGTGCTTTCTGGGAAGGGGACAGGAATTTACCAGAACTGAGGGTTCCTCTTTTTTTTAGTCTATATAGGGTAATTTCCAGATGTTGCCATGGCATTAGTAAACTGTCATGGCGCTGATGGAAATGTCTTTTATCATGCTAATACATTATAATTAGCATATAATGAGGCGTGAGGACGACCAGAGGTCACTTTCATTGCCATCTTGGTTTTGGCGGGTTTTGGCTGGCTTCTTTACTGTATCCTGTTTTATCACTGGGATCTCTGTGACCTGTATCTTGTGCCAACTTCCTATCTCATCCTGTGATTTAAGAATGCCTAACCTCAGCCAGGCGCGGTGGCTCACGCCTGTAATCCCAACACTTTGAGATGCCGGGGCTGGCGGATCGCGAGGTCAGGAGATCAAGACCATCCTGGCTAACACAGCGAAACCTCGTCTCTATTAAACATACAAAAAATTAGCCGGGCGTGGTGGCGAGCTCCTGGCAGGAGAATGGTGTGAACCGGGGAGGCGGAGCTTGTAGTGAGTCGAGATTGCACCACTGCACTCCAGCCTGGGCGACAAAGCGAGACTAAAAAGAATGCCTAACCTCATGAGAATGCAGCCCAACAGGTCTCATTCTCATTTTACCCAACCCTTAGTCAAGATGGAGTTGCTCTGGTTCAAATGCCTCTGACTCTACCAAATTTTTCTGCCTTCATTATGTAAGAGTAGCAATTTTACCACATCCTCGTTAGCATTGAGTCTAGTATTGATGGGGGACAGAGGTTCTGATGAAATTTTCCCCAATATTCTTTGTTTGAGATATAATTTGCATATAATATATGCAAAGATTTTTTAATATACAATTGGATAAGTTTTGACAAATGTTTGTGTCCATATTACCACCACCCCAATGAAGATACAGAACAGGGCCAGGCGCAGTGACTTACGCCTGTAATCCCAACACTTTGGGAGGCTGAGGTGGGCAGATTGCTTCAGCTCAGGAGTTCAAGGCCAGGCTAGGCAAGATGGTGAAACCCTGTCTCTACCAAAAATACAAAAATTAGCCAGGCATGGTGGTGCACATCTGTGGTCCCAGCTACTTGGGAGGCTGAGGCAGGAGGACCACTTGAGCCCAGGAGGCAGATATTGCAGTGAGCCAAGATCATGCCACTGCACCCCAGCCTGAATGACACAGTAAGACTCCATCTCAAAAAAAAAGATACAGAATATTTCCACTGTCCCTTAAAGTCCTCTATAACCTGTTTGCAGTTGATCTGCACCTACTGCTTTTCCCACTTACCTCCAAGTTGCCACTGTTCTGATTTCTGCCTGTCCTGGAATTTCTTCTAAATGGAATTACATTACATGTAATTGTAACCATAATAGGTTTGTTGCCCAATGCACACAGCAAGTCAATACACCAAGCCATTGGGTTGCAGCAGAGAAAGAGGTTTAATCGTAGAGTCATCAAATGAAGAGATGGGAGGAAACCTCAAACCCATCTCCTTGAGGAACTTAGGGTCAGGGTTTTTAAGGGTTTTGGATTGGGCCAAAATGTGAAGATGGTTAACAGGTCAAAGAGTCCAGGGTGAAGTCATGGGACAGGGAGATGAAGAAGCTATATTCTCATACTGATGCTGTTCCTCTCTGGGGGTCTTCAAACTGGTTGCTGGAATCTGTTTCTGAAAAACATCTAGGCCGGGCGCGGTGGCTCAAGCCTGTAATCCCAGCACTTTGGGAGGCCGAGACGGGCGGATCACGAGGTCGGGAGATCGAGACCATCCTGGCTAACACGGTGAAACCCCGTCTCTATTAAAAAAATACAAAAAACTAGCCGGGCGAGGTGGCGGCGCCTGTAGTCCCAGCTACTCGGGAGGCTGAGGCAGGAGAATGGCGGGAACCCGGGAGGCGGAGCTTGCAGTGAGCTGAGATCCGGCCACTGCACTCCAGCCTGGGCGGGGCAGAGCGAGACTCCGTCAAAAAAAAAAAAAAAAGAAAAACATCTTAAGCAATTCCGTTTGTTTGTTTGTTTGTTTGTTTTTTGAGACAGGATCTCACTCTCTTGCCCAGACTCTGGACCGCAGTGGCCTCATCTTGGCTTATCACAACCTCCACCTCTCAGGCTCAAGCGATTCTCCTGCCTCAACCTCCCGAGTAGCTGGGATTACAGGCGCGTGCCATTACTGCCTGGCTAATTTTTATATTTTTAATAGAGATGGGGTTTCACCATGTTGGCTAGGCTGGTCTTGAGGTCCTGATCTCAAATGATCCACCTGCCTCAGCTTCCTATAATCCCTGCTGGGATTCTAATGTTAGAGGTCCTGTCTATGGGAACAATGGAGATGCAAATGATCAGTATCTAATGCTGTGTGACTTTTAGCAACAAGGAAGTGGACCAAAGTGAAGCCCGATTAATGCTTTATCATAATTATATTGCTGTCCAGAACCCAGCATGTACTTCCTGTCAACCTTGTTGGGGCAGCTTCATACTCTTTTGTGTCTGACTTCTTTGTTCAACATATTCTATTATTTTTAAGTGCACTTATAGACAGAAATTAGTCACTTGTCATTTTATTTTGAATTTCTTTTTTGTTGTTGTTGTTGTTGTTTGTTTGTTTTTGAGATGGAGACTCGCTCTGTCATCCAGGCTGGAGTGCAGTGGCACGATCTCGGCTCACTGCAACCTCCGCCTCCTGGGTTCAAGTGATTCTCCTGCCTCAGCCTCCCAAGTAGCTGGGACTACAGGCGTGTGCCACCACGCCCGGCTAATTTTTGTATTTTTAGTAAAGACAGGGTTTCGCCATGTTGGCCAGGCTGGTCTCAAACTACTGAC